GGCGTGGCCGTCGCACAGCCAGCTCTGGGGCACGCAGCGGGTGGCAGCGTCGCAGCGCAGGGCACAGTCCTGCGTGGGGCTCCAGCACCCCATCTCGTCTGAAGCGTCGGGGCACTGTGCCACCCCATCGCAGCGCTGCCCCGCCCCGACACACGCGGCCCCGCCCGCACAGCGGAAGGCCCCTAGGGAGGCAAGGGGCCTTGCTGAGTGTGTGGCTGGTGGCCTGGGTGCCCAGACCTTCTGCTAGTCCCCCAGCAACCTAGAATGGCCCCACCCTATAGCAACAGATCTTCGTCTCTCCTGGTCAGTGCATCTAGGTCCCAAGCAGGGTGACTGAAGCAGTCTCAGCTTAGCCACATCTAGGTCACCATAAGCAGCAAGACCAGACCTGTTCTCTCCTTCTGACTCATAGCATCTCCATCCCAGGGCTAAGCTCAGAAGAAACAAGCATGCAACATCACAAGCATCAGAGCCCAGGATAAAGTCAGACCTCCATAGAATCCTAGGATGGTTTGCCTTGAAAGGACTTTAAAGATCACAGAACAGTTTAGATTGGCAGGGACCTCAAAGATCATCTAGTTCCAAACCATCTGTCATGGGCAGGGACACACTTCACTACTCCAGGTGGCTCCAAGCCCCCATCCAACCTGGCCTTGAACACTTCCAGGGATGGGACATCCACAACAACTCTGGGCAACAGAGAAAGGCCCTATCCCACCAACCCCAACAGGAAGCAGCCAGAAGCCCTGGCACAGTGAGACCCAGCTGTGCAGGGGACTGAAGAGCATCTCCTACCTGGGGTGTCACAGAGCTGGGCACACCCATCCTCATCAGAGCCATCCGCACAGTCCTTTTCCCCATCACACATGTACTCCTGGGCCACGCACTCAGTGCCATCACGACAGGCCACGTGTGTGCGAGGACAGGACAGATGGGGGACTGGGGTCAGGGCATGTGCAGGGCTGGTTGGAAGGGGTGGAGTAGGTAGTACTACCCGTGCAGGGCTGGTTGGGTGCTGGGTGGTAGTACTTCTTTGTGAGGCAGTGGTCTTGGTTGGCAAAGACCGAGTGGTGGTGCTGCTAGTGGTGGAGCTGGTGGTAGTCCTGGTGGTGGAGCTGGTGGTAGTCCTGGTGGTGGCTGGCAGCATAGGGGAGGTCTTGGTTCGTGTGCTCCGAGCAGTGGTTGACACAGGGGCAGTCTTGGTCGATGTGGACTGGCTGGTGGTGGTTGGTGTTGTAGCCTTGCTGGTTGCTGCAGTAGTGGTGGTCTTGCTTGGCTTAGGTCTCATGGTGGAGGTGGTGGGCTGAGCAGCAGTGGTGCTTGTGGTTGTCCTTGTCACGGTGGTCACACGTGGAGAGAGTGGCAGGACAGACCCCTTGCTTGGAGACACTGGCAGAGGCATAGGCACGAGAACATGAGCCTGGATTCGGGGCTATGCCCTCCCCACACCCCCAATAACACCACACGTGGTCACCAGCAGCCAGACACCCTGCCCTAGATCGGAGCAGCACAGGTCATCCAGCTTCATCAGGTACTGCAACAGTGCCAGGCACAGAGCCATGGCCACTCTTACCAGCCCATGTCTCCGAGCCCACGAAGGCCACTACTCCCTGCACGCCTGCTACTGGCATGGACAGCACAAGGGTCAGTGTCCTCCGGTCCCACAGCAGCAGAGCTGTCCCATTTGCCGACACCAGGTATGGCTCGAAGGCAGCCACCAGGCCGTAGGACCAACTGGGTGCCAGGGTGACTGCTTGCCGCTTGGTCAGACTCAGAGCCTGCAGGCCTGTAAGGCAGAAGGATGGTAGGACCCTGGGATTCCTGTGGGCCACCCCATGCCCCCACAACTCACAGCTATGACAGAGAATTTGTGCCATAGCTTCATACTTTGTGGGACAGTCTTCCTCATGAGCACCCCACTGCCTTGGCAGTGAGCTGCTGCATGTAGGACATGTTTGGTCACTCCTGCCTATAGTGACCACCTCTGCTCCCTGCTGCAGAGATCACCAGGGCTTACCCAGGGCTGAGCTCCAGAGCAGGCTGAAGGCTTTGTTGTCCATAACTGCAGGCAGGTCTCCAGGCCATGTCTCATTCCAGGCATCCCGCGGAGCACCCCCAGCCAGGCTCAGCTGCTGCAGAGGCTGCCCACGGGCTAGCCAGTACAGAGTGTCCCGCTGCCAGTCCAGGAAGAGGTGCTGGATGCCTCTGCGAGCACGGTGCAGGATGCGCAGGGACATGTCAGATGCCTGGATCACCCCGATGTCCCTCTGGTTACAGGCAAGCCAGTACAGGTCCCCTGAGCGGATGTCCACGCGGGCGGAGCAGACTGAGCAAGAGTAGGCAGGCAAGCAGTTATGAGGCTGTCCTGTGACCCTGCTCCTCTGCCTGGGTCCCCCCTGCCCCTAAAACCAGGGCACAGCTGCCCAGTGCCTCAACGTGGCCCCAGTGTGGACCCAGGAGATCCTCAGCGCCCAGGCAACACCAGGAAGGGGGACATCACCCCATAGTGTCTCACCTGGCAGCCCAGTTGCAATGACCTCTCTCCTACCAGGGTACCCCACAACACGCAGCAGTGCCCCATGGTCATCTGTCCCATAGAGCACAGACCTCTGCCAGTCTACATCCTGCAGGTGGAGGGTCTCCTGCCACTCCTGTACCCGTTTGCTGTGTGCTCCTGGACCAACCTGCACCAGGGAGATGGCCTTCCCTGATGCATACACGATGGACAGCTCTGCAGGGTGCAAGGGCAGTGTGTGAGTGTAGCCTCAGGCACACTGGACAAGGTCACCAGCACAAACCAAGGCAGAAACATAACAGCACTGGTGTGTGCTGGGAACCTCATTCCACGTTACCCCTCTGACTCCCAGAAGGATGCATCCTGCCCCAGCCAGCCAAGCCTGCCTTGCAGACCCTGCTCACCTGCACACTTCCCTGAGGGCAGGAGAAAGAGGCCTTCTGGACATGCACACTTGTAGCCTCGTGGGTGCACAGGGGACAGGAGGCAAAGGTGACTGCACAGGCCTGGAGCACACGCAGCAGTGTCCCCTGGGGGCAAGGGGACATTAAGAGCTCAGGCAGTCATGACCCCTGATGCCTCTCCCAACCCCCAAAAGTGACAGCCTGTCCTAGATCTGGATACAGGCTGCCTACCCCAGGCAGCACAGCAGCGTCACATGATGTAGGAAGGCTCAGCTCTACCCAAAGCCATGAGACTTGATAGCTTTCCCATGGCTTCACATGTTCCCTCTGTCACAACCCCACAAACCCCTGGCTGCAGGACCAGGAGGGCCATTAGGCAGGACCCAATGAGCCACAGGACCCAGCGCAGCTTCCTCTAGTGCCCCAGGCAGCATCATGGGTGCTGCCAGCCCTGCCAGGTGTGGGTGTCTGGCAGGGTACTCACGAGGAGGCTGCTGCAGCTCATGCAGCACAGTGAAGGCCGAAATGGAGGCACGGAGCAACACCGCATGCTCCTGGGGAGAGGCCTGGGTGGCCGACACCAGCTCTGTGCCATCGGTCCAGAAGAACCGGCTCTCGAACACAGCCAGGCCCAGTGGCTCCGTGTGGCTCCGCAGGACAGCAGGAAAGGAGTGGCGCCCACTGCCATCCACCCGCAGCGTCTCGATGGACTGGGGACAAGGCATGGCACCATGACCACGGGGCACCCCACACCACAGGCTCACAGTCGTCTTCTCTTTCCCAGCCAGGGATGTGTGCCAGACCTGGGCACCGGTCCCTGCTTCCTCCCATGCTTTGGCCGTAGCCACAGGGAAACCAGGGCCACCCTCCCCACTCCCACCTCATCACCTCCCTGCACCTGTGGGGGGCAGAGCCCCATTGCCCCACATCCCTACCTCCTTGTACTCGCTGATCCAGTACAACCTGCCAGCCACGTGGTCTAGGCTCAGCCCCACAGGCTCCTCCATGGACACCACTGTGAGCTCCTGCCGGTCTGAGCCATCCATGCCAGCTGCAGCAATGACTGTCCGGCCCCTCTGCCCACGGTTGACCCAATACAGGGACCTGGGGACAGGCACTAAGCACCCACTTCACAGCATAACAGCAGTGCTGCCGCAGCCCCACAGCAAGCATGACATGGTCAGCATCAGCACTGCTCATCCAGGAGCCTGGAGCCAACCCCGGCTCACTCGCTCTTCACCTTGCAGCCGGATGTACTGTCAGCTGCTCTGGTGCCACGTCCTTCCCCAGCACTGTCACATAGCCCCGACCATCACCCAGCCCTGCGCAGATGGCTGCGGGGTGGCTGCTGGCCCAGTACAGCTGCCCTGTGAACCAGTCCACGGAGATGCTGTTCACCTCCTCAGCATCTGCAGAGACAGAGCAGTTTAAGGCACACTACCCCTGCTCCAGGCCAGGTGGCAAAACCCAGATCGCCCCTTCCTCTACGGGGACAGGCAGGGCTGGGGTGGCAGGACAGCTCTCAGGAGCCATCTCAGCTCCACTCCAGCACCCAGCCCCTTCACTCCTCCCCACCTGCATAGAGGGGCTGCGTGCCCTTGCCCGGGACGTGAGCATGGAGTTCGCCCTCCTCTGTCAGCCAGTAGTAGGTTTCTCGGAGCAGGTCGTACACCAGGGCACGGGGCTGGGTCTCGGTGGAGAGCAGGGGCCGGTAGGCTTGGGTCCGCACATCCAGAAGGGCCAGGTCTTGCCCCACGGCCACCAGAATCTGAGTCGCGTTGTCTGCCAGGACAAACAGGATGTCACCCAGTGAGGGGGGAGATGCAGCTAGCTGAGGGCACTGCCCAGCCCCTCAGATAGCCTGGGCTCCCTGGCTCACCCTACCTGCCACTTCACAGGTAGTGCCGTGCCAGAGGGTGTAGCCCTGGAGGCAGGTGCAGCTGAAAGAGCCTGGGGTGTTGCTGCACAGCTGGCTGCATGGGCTGTACTCCAGGGAGCACTCGTCCACATCTGCAGGAATAGACGCAGCCAGGAGCCTGCTGCACAGCAAGCAGCCCAGCTGCCCCCAGACAGCACTGCCACTGCTCCCCAGGGGCCACACACAGGCTTCCTAACACCAGGACCTGGACCCCAGCCCCAAAACACACCAGCTGCTGCTGGGACATGACCTAGACACAGCCTTTGCAAGGTCAGGCATGACACACAAGTGGGAGCGGGGCTGATGCAGGGGTTCCCACACAAGTGCTGGCTCCAGAAAAACCTGGCTCTTAGCAGCTCAGGCTACCCATGCCCAAAGCACACGCACCCTGACCTCTCCTTACCAGCACAGCTCTGCCCATCTGCCTGCAGCACCCAGCCAGCCCCGCAGGAGCACTGCACTCCCCAGTGTGTGTCAGTGCACGTCTCTGTGCAGCCCCCGTTGCGTACAAAGCAGCTCCGACCTGTGGGGACACAGAGGAGGGGTGACATGATGCAGGACAGCTCTGTGGCCACCTCTGTCCCCAGCCACATGGGTAGCGGCCTCACACAACTCACCACATGTGCTGGGCTCGTCAGTGCCGTCCAGGCAGTCATCTTCATCATTGCACATCAGGGACTCCAGGATACACTTCCCCTCGTCACACCGCACCATGCCAGGTGGGCAGGGGGCTATGGCACACACAGGTCATGTCAGGAGGCCAGACCAACACCAAGTGGGCACAGGGCAAACTATGGGTCCCAGACTCACGGGGAGGCCCCACAAAGCATCAGCAGCTTCCTGGGATGTTTGTCAACATCACAAGGGGAGCTGGGGCCCAGGAAGGCAGAGTATCCCCTACTTTGCATGTGGCCTGGACAGGTCTCACCGCACTGTGGAGCATCCAGCATGCCCGCTTACCGCAGACGTCTTCGTCCGAGGAATCACCACAGTCATCAATCCCGTTGCACTTCCACTCAGCCATGATGCAAACCCTGTTCTTGCACTGCCACTGCCCAGGCAGACAGGGCTGCAGGGGACACCCCTCCTCATCCCAGCCATCCTCGCAGTCCTGGTGCCGATCACACATCTCCCAGTGCGGGATGCAGTGGTGGGTGCCGGGACACTGCACCTTCTTTGCCCCACACACTGAGGGAACAGAGCAGCATTCGCATCCTGCCCCGTGCCCCCAGCCAGCCCCGCTCAGCCCCACCAGCAGAGACAACATACCACAGTCCTGCTCATCAGAGCCATCCAGGCAGTCAGCAGCACCATCACAACGCCAGCTGCTGGAAATACATCGGCCATCGTCACACTGCCAGACATGGGGGTCCCCACCACAGGCAACATCTGCAGGGAGAGCACACAGTCACTGGGACCTATTCCTCTGGCACAAGCACAGGGTCCCCTCTGTCCTGGCCTGGGGTGGGTGCTGGCAATGCCCCAGGGGCTCTGCTGAAGGGCTCTGCCAAGGGGATGGCCCACAGCAGTCCCCAGCAGGGCTCTCTGGCCTCACTCAGCATAGGATCCAGGATACATCCCCATGCCACAGACATCCCCAGGAGATCTGGGACACACACAACCCTGCAGGGTGCCACACAAAAGCCACTGGCAGAGACTGCAGAGCGGGGTGCCTCTGCCCTGCCCAACCACCCACCCAGGGCACCATGGGATCCCTTGATGCCCATACAGCACAGCCCCTCAAGCCACCCCACGACCAAGGATGGGTGCCAGCTTCCCCTGGCTCACCACACTGCTCGTCCGTCCCGTCAGGACACTGCTGCTCCCCATCGCAGAGCCAGGGAACGGGAATGCAGCCGGCACTGCAGGCGGCTTGGCGTGAGGCTGCACATGTGGGGCCGGCGGGGGCTGCTGGAGAAAGGGGTGGTCAGCCTGGGGTGGTCGCATCAAGCGCGCACCGGCACACACCCCGTGCAGCTCCCCGCTTGGGGATCCCAGCACAGCCCTGCAGAAGAGGCACTGGCCCCACTCAGGGGCACGCCTGGACCTCCTGTGAAGCCAGAGGGAGAACTGCAGCCTCCCGCGCCTCCCGCCCC